AGTCATTTTCTTGTTTCCTTTTCAATTTGTTTTGGTGTCTTTCAGAACACAAGTAGGGTTTATAGTCTGTGAGAAAATTATTTTTTAAGAAGTGATTTGATAAAAATGAGCATTTGTGACTGAAGAAAAAAGCTAAGGTGTTTTCTCTATAATTGTGTACTTTTAGTAGTTCAGTCAACCTGAGTCTGTGTGTCTGAGGAAGAACAACAACTATTGTTCTAGAGATACACTCTGTCTCTGTGGTTTCGCTGCTGGCACAGAAGAGGTTACACACCCAACCCTGGAGAAGCTTCTCCTCCGGACACAGGTGGGGAATGGCTCACAGGACTCTTTTAAGGGGAGGAGTGCCCTCTATTGCACGGTATAAGCATCGTTCACTCCCTGAAATACAGTGTAACACCAGCTTCTGCGGCCCCACAATGGAAAGGAAATAATATGGAAAGGAAACACGTAGAAAACAACGTATTGATTTACCTTCCTCTTGCATTCTTAAGTGGTAAATTAGACAGAGCGAATAGTATGAGATCTGAAAACTCAGATCCCAGTTTTTATTTCCATCCTGGTCACCCACTTTTCTGAGGTCCTCTTAAAAAAAAGGGTTTCAAATTGCTTAAATTGTAAACAGCCAGCAATGTCACTTCAAATATATGACAACAGAACTTGGAACCATTTACGCCTCCGGATGGTTCCATCCTGTTTCTTATGTCTATCAGCTACCAGAAATATCACAACCCCTTCCTCCACAAGCAACAAACTTGTGCCTGAACATTAGGACTTCTTTTCTGATCCTTATCTCTCTGCCCAAACCCTCTTAGTTATGATGCCTATTAGAAATCAACTAGTTAAAAATGGTCATTGAGAATGGATAGTTACTAACATATTTTGAAGTAGAATCTGTTTTAATTCACTGTCTGTGAGGAGTACAGGAACTTTGATGTGGATTTAGAGAGGAACAGAATTACCCTGGGTTTGAGTACTTTCAAATGTGCTATTAGTTTGTATTTTTAAGATAGTTGTGTATCTACATAAGAACATAGTTATGTTTTGCCTCCTTTTCCTTAATCCTTTGCTTGTCATCTGACCACTGAGATTTTAAAATTATAAGCCCAGGAACCTCATCTTATGTCAGTGAGGTCCTTTGCACCAAGTCTGGACAAAGGCTTCTCAGTGATGCTGCAGTATGAATATTAAATTGTTCATCCATGCATTTTGAATGTGTTGCTCCACCCAAGGGTCATGGGACACTTAGCAGAGAAAATATCTGAGTTGATTTTTTTTTTTTTTAATGCTGGTAGAAGACATAACACTAAAACAAGAAAAAAAAGGTGAAAAAAAAGGTATTTTTTAAAGCAGGCAGGATAAAGGCACGTACATGGCCAAGGTCTGTCTTCTGGCCCTCATATGAAACCGGCATAATATATCCAAGAATTGAGAGCTGATCAACACAAGTCTCCAGCACATCAGTAAACAGCAGAGCTTCCAGATGAGTGAGTTTTTCCATTTCTTTAGTCTCTGTGTTCTTGCTAAGAGGAACAAAGACAAAAGACACTAATGAGAAAGAGGCTATGGTGTTAGCAACAGTAAAGGTAGACCTGAAATAGCCTTATTTGCAGCCTTTCATATACTTCCTTAGCTTTGTTTATACTCTGTCATACACTGTTTATAAAAGGAGCCATGCTCTGCTAATGGCTGTATTCAGGGACAGTGGGAATGTTTAGCTTTCACAAAACAAAGTAGGGCCTAGTCCCTCCTACAGTAGATCTGGATAGATAGGCTGAGGAGGGAATGGATAAGGGAGGCACAAACTGGGTGAGGTGGTCTCACCATTCAATTCAGGTGGGAGCAGTGTTTCATGATGGTCTTTATTCTTTGCAAAACAATGGAATGAAGGTGCCTTTTTAAAAGGCAGAAAAATAAATCCACGTTTTATAAGATCTCAGATGATGAACCTGCATGCTCTAATCTTTCCTCAGTATTACTGTGTAGCTTTTAACACTTTTGATGCAAATCTCCTCAGCAGGAGCTGTCGTCAACTTAAGGTCTTGAAAGTCAAACAAGAACCAGTATCTGGACTAAGTAAACTATCTTTAACATTCTGTGTTGTTTTAAGTTGCATTTCAAATGTGAAACTGCTGTGATGTATGTTTTAGTATCACTTTGTCTTGCTTACACATGGAATATTGTGAAAGTGCTTCTAGGAATGGTAGAAATTCACTATTAGTCCAGGCAAAATTGACCCATTTAGGAAAATGTATAACAAAACACCTGCATAAACAACAGAGAAATTTTGAGATTTTTAATGTTTTGGTAAGCCATTAGACAATTCCTCCAAACCCAAAACATCACTTTTCCTTTTTTTTCAACCATGGATTCAGTGATAGAAGTGGAGATGCGCAAATTAAGTATCTTTACATAGAGAAAGTCAAACAATGTTTTTTTCCAGTCAGCAGACACTAATAAAATATTTTCAAATGTTTAACTTGGTTTTATCTTTTTAAGAAATCTACAATCCATGTTTTGAGTCTAAACAACATAAAAATAATCTATTACATGTGGAGTCCTAATGCTAAAAATATAACCCCCCCAAAAAAATTTGTTGTGAGATAGCTGTGACAGATGATTACAACAGCAGTCTTGAAAGAAGTAATGCTCACAGCTTTTATAGGAAAAAGCGACTTAATTGGAAACAAAGGAGGATACAATAGCTTCTCCTCTATTCCATCAGCAGCTTCTGTCCAGGACAGAATTTACTCAAGATATTAATATATGTTAAAAGAACTCACAGCTGGAATGCCTCTCTAAAGCCTGCTGGTTTGCTCCTCCTATGTATCTCCTCTTATAATCATACACTCCCTCAGAAGATGCATGTGCCAAGCCAGTACACTCTGGACTTATGTTGACTTGGAAATGAGAAGGAAACAACTGTCTGGAGCATTAAAAAACGGTACAAATAGTGAGCTGCTTTCCCAGGATTTTACCATTACCGCAGTCTCAGAGCATCCTGATGTAGCCATTGGCACTGGCTTTAATCATTTTGCTTTGACGAACTTGTTCATTAAACTCTATTAATAATAATAAAAAAGGAGGTATGTGAAGGATTCAGTTTTCCCCAAGAGTTTAGGTTGAAATTCTTTCCCTGCTGATCTAAAGGGAAAGAAAAACATGTCGAGAAATAATTTTTAAAACAACTGTATAAAAAGTCTGGCCTCCTGTTCCTTTGGGGATTGCAACTCCCTCTGCTGTGTGAGAGTCCTGGATGCATGTTTCTCCCATCCTGCTGCCTATTAGACTAAAATGGATTCAAAGGCAGGATTTCTTTCAGTCAATTAAGGATTCCAGTGGGATAATTTGAAGCTGAGAATGTTACATCTCCTTCAGCTCTGTTTTGCAAATGATTGGCAAAGAGAGATTCAAATATCCATAGGGGCAGTAGCTGGGCCATAAATCAGAAATACCTTAGTTTTTACCAAAAAAAAAATATATATCTCTTAGGCAAGTAAAATAGTTCTGGTCTTTCAAAACCCTGCCTACCACTATAAATGTTAGAACATATCTTGGATTTGGCTTAGAGATGCAATTTAGTTTTCATCCTGACTGTAAAGAATTTCCACTCCTGCTCTCTGAGGCTGCACTAATGAGAACCCTGGAGAACTGAGTGCAGGAATGAAAGATGTGGTGCTGCTTTTAGCTGTATGTCCCATAAGGGACTAGATTGGTGTGGGACAGGAAAAGATAAGATTTAGGGAGCATTTATCGACTGTGGATGTGTACTGCTGGGAAACAGTGTTTTGACAGATAGTTCATTCTCCTCAAAGAAGGGACTGTGTTCTTTCTCTAAGCAGAGGTGACTAGCACACATTTGGTACTGATAACTAGATAGAATACTGAGCACTGCTTTGCTTTCTACTTCTTCCTTAAAGCAGAAGCCAACTGAGTAATTTGGAGAATGCATAATATTCCATCCCTTCTCTGCTCCTACTTCCTAACAATTTAATCTCTAAGAAAAACCTCTGCTTATACCTGCTTGCAAGGCATTGTGTGCTTCTGCCCTGGCCCAACAATGCACAAATAGACTTGATTCTCCTCCTGGATCAGGATTTAATTCCTTAGTCCAGGTTCAAGCTCTCTAAGCCCACCTGGCGACAAAACAATAGCAGACTTTGCTCCTGAGATTCCCGAGATCCTTTTTCCTTCCCCCCAACAAGGGCAGCCTGGACACATGTTCAGATGCAGCTTAAGACACTTAGGAACAAAGTAACAGTGAAAGTCTAATCAGTCGGGTGCATTTCCCTCGCGTTTCTGGCTATGTGAGAGAAGTGACAGTGATCAGGAGTGAATGGCCCTAACATGGGAAAACGGGTAATAGAAAACATGTATTTCTGCAGTGATCCGAGTGTAGAAATACATGTTTTGAGTCCCCAGGGTGATATCGAGAGTGAAATAAATGTTGAGATGATTCAGTTTAAAGTAAGAAGGGAGGCAGATGGGCAGGGCCCGGAAAGCAGCCATCAGAAGAGGGCCCCAGAGCCCTGGCCATCTCAGAAGCACCAAGCACTCCAACTTCACCTCCTAGCTGCCCTCTCGCAGGGCTCCTCCGCTTGTTCTACCGCCGCAGGCGGTTCTCACAACCGGGCTGCGGCCCCGTTCGTCCTGCCAAGCCTCCCCTCACCCTCCGCGCCGCGATACACTACCCGCTCACCTCCTACCCCAGGCAACCGCTCACTGCCGGTGCTGTGCCCAGCCCCGACCCGCTGCGGCGCTCACTGACACGCAGTATCGGCGGCGCCCGTCTCCACGACAACCACCACGCTCCGGGGGCCTCGACGGGTTGCCCTGGCGGATGCCTGCGCGGCGGGGCTGGGGCCGCCCCTCCCCGGATCACCAGCCGGGGGAGAAAGGGGACCGGGGGGATGCGGCGAGGGATGGCGCTGGGGCCCGATGTACTTACCCCGCCGGGTCGCCTCTGTTTCGCCCTGTCAGGCAGTGCTCGCTGCCGCTCGAAGAGGGTCCTTCCCAGCCCACATCCCGGAAGGCAGCGCGGCACCTCTCTCTTTTGCCGCCATATTGGTTCGTCGCCGTGGGGGTGAGTTGATGAGTGGCGGCGCGGGGTGAAGGGCGGGAGGGAGGTGGTCCCGCCATGGCACCGCCGGCGGGCGCGGCATTCCTGGGGTGTTGAGGCTGGCGCCGTGCGGAGCGGGTAGAGGGCGGGATGGCGGCGATATGCGGCGGATGGTGCCGGCCGTGCGTTTGGGGCTCGTAGCTGAAACGGACTGGGGCGACTGGAAGGTCCCCTTCTGTGGGGAAGCGGAGGGGTCTCCTTAACTCCTTCGCGAGGCGGAGCCCGAACTGGGTGCTCTGGCAGCCCTTGTCGCTTTGTTCTGGGTGGCTCCCGGCTGCCGGGATGTTCTGACCCCGGACCGGGCCTGCGGCAGCTCCCGCTCGCTTGGCTGGAGAGAGCTACCGGCCTGGAAGGCTCATGGCTTGTGTGTCGTTTCTAGGCCTGCTGGGACCAGGGCTTCAGGAGGACACCATGACCGGGAGGTGAGTTACCTACCCCCAGATGGCTTTTGGCTCGCTGTACACTGCTTCTGACAAGTCTTGCAGAGTGAGCATTTCTGAGCGTGTTAAAGCTGTGGGCAAGAATCCGTTTTCCTGCGGCAGCTCTTCTGCCCAGTATCCTGCTGAGCTCTCTTAAACACCCACGGTTGTGCTTCCCTGTTTTGAAGTCTCTGCCTTAAACTAGCTGTAGTAGTTCGTATATCGTTGTAGCTGCTCATATGTTCTGCCCCGCTTTCCTGGCCTGTCAATAGATGTGTAGTATTAATGGTGGCTTTGTTAGCACAGCGTTTGTAACCCTCCAGTGTACAGTGGAGGCTTTGGCATATTGCTTCCTTGCATAACTGCGCTACTTGCTATGGATGTAGGGATTGAGTCTGAATCATAAGTTTTTGTCTTAATATTTATTTCTAGAGTTCATCTTCTCTCATGCATGCGTAGGAGGTTGAACTAGGTAGCTTGGTTTACTACTACTGTGTTATGGGACAGTTGCTGGATGCATTTGAGACAGTCACACTGCATACATGATGTGTGGAATGAGCCTTGTAATTGCTTTACCTGAACAGTACAGACACTTCTTTGTCATGAAGAATTGCTGAGGAGTTTGTGTAATGTCACTGGTCCAGAGCATGTGGAGCTGTCCTGATAAGCTGCAGTTAAGTCCTTTGAGACTACAAATTAGCAGCAGTTACTATTTTCTACAGCAGTTATTGCAACACAGGAAGCACAGTTTGTGGTGTATAGAAAAGTTTACTCACCACAGAGTGTTTGTAGACATTTGAAAACATCACACCTACTGATGTTGAAGCACTATGGGTTTAATATGCAGCCTGCAGTGCCAGAAATTTGTAACAAGCAGAAAGATACAGACTTTTCAGAAATACTTTGAGTTACTTGGCTTTTCTCTCTTGACTGAATGTAGGGATCTGCAGTAATACGTAAAAGTAGTGGGGCTTTTCCTTGGCTGAATTTTTACTGCTGTAGAAATAGTTTCTGCTGAAACAGCACACGATTTATTTTTGTATTTGATACTTTGGTGTGAATTCTAATTTGCAAATGCTTTCAATGTCTCTAGGCTGTGGTGCAAGGCCATCTTTGCTGGCTACAAACGTGGCCTCCGAAACCAGAGGGAGCACACTGCCCTGCTGAAAATTGAAGGTGTTTATGCCCGTCAGGAGACAGACTTCTACTTGGGCAAGAGATGTGCCTATGTATACAAAGCTAAAAAGTAAGTTGCTTTTTATTGTTATGCTAATTTAGCTAGCTCCTGTATCAGCTTTTGGAAATGCCAGCATGTGAGTAGTCTGCTTACAGAGTTTTTGTCAGAACAAAAATAAATTGGGTTCAGTTTATCAGTAGTGTTCATGGAGTACTGTGTAGAGCAGTTTCCTGCGTTGGTTTTGTTTTTAATGTCTGGGATTGCTTTTGCTTTAACTGGCTTAATTCAGATAATGGAATTACGAAAAACAAATTTTGCTTGAGATTGGCAAATGCTGAAGGTGGGTTGATGAAGTAGATTGAAGTGAGGTGAGTTGGAGGTGGGTGCTGTGAGCTCTTGAGTTAATTAAATGGCAGAATTATTTTGTGAGACCTGGAGGAATTTGTATCGTGGCATTTGTGTGCCCATATCAGAGTACTGTCACTGCTGTGCTAGCATTGGTGGAAGCCTTTAAGAACAGTTACTTAATATTTTCCACTTATTTTTTTCTTGGGGGAGTGTATTTGTTGGAGTTCAGATATGGGAGTTCAGAATTGCCTTGAATAAAATTTATTGAAGTGTTAACCTGACCACCATCATTTCCAAGATGGCGTATGGCTTCTTTAAACCAGTTTTTTTTGTAGTCTAGTCCAATGGCTTAGGCCTCTCCTGCCTTTGGTGTGTCTGGGTAAATAGTACAAATAAGATGTTGCATTTTCTTTGGAAAACTCTTGATTTTTTGGTTTGATCATATTATTGGCATCAGCATTTTACAAATTCTTAAGCTTCGTAACTTAATAGTTCTCCAGTGGACCTTCTGATAGGTTACAAGCTGCAGTATGTAGCTGTTCAGAAAGTACAGTGAAATTCCCAGGCATGGCAAATTTCACAGGCAAATAAAAGTGACATGTGGTCTGCTTAAAAATGATTGTGGAATAAAGTTACCGAAGTGCATTAACAAGGCCACATTGTCTGCCCTGTCACTGCAGAGTCCAATAGGGTGCTGTGGCTGGCCTGCTCAGCAGAGCTTTTCCTCTTTCCTTAGCAACACCGTAACCCCCGGTGGGAAGCCTAACAGGACACGAGTGATCTGGGGGAAGGTAACCCGCGCCCATGGGAACAGTGGCATGGTTCGTGCCAAGTTCCGCTCCAACCTTCCTGCCAAGGCCATTGGACACAGAATCCGAGTGGTAAGTGGATTTATTTCAGCAACAAGATATTTAGTGGCAGATTTCAGGGAGCCTTTTCATCCCACTTAATATGAGGGAAAACTTGAACTATGGTTTTGTTCTGTTGCTGTTGTGCATTCAGCATGGCTCTTCGGTAAATGCTCCTTTTGGAGCTAGGAGGGGTTTATTGGTGGCTTCTTGTGCTGAGGGTATTTGTCTCATTGTCAAGGGTTTTATGTGCTGGCTCAGCTTGTCTCTAAAGGCTTTTCAACTTCCAGGACTCTTCCTCTGCTCCCTTCTAAAGCTGTCTTGATTTTTTTTTTTCCCTGGATTGTGTACTTTTGCCCCCTTCTACTCTGATTTCTACCCATTTATAGATTTGTTTTCTCCTACCTCTCCAGTATTTGAACTTAGAGGGTGCTGTCCTGGCATGACCACTAGTACCTCCTCCACAGTTGGTGTTTTAGCCACAAGGCTTCAGTGAGACTGTCCCTTTAGGCCCCTCACTTGAGTTTTGATGCAGTATTCTTCTAGTGATGTTGTCAAAGGAGTATCGGGGTGCAGTTCTTCCATCCTTCTGTTCTGACTCTCCTGTGCCTTAGGAGTAGGAGTGGTACAGTTAAATCCTGAAACTAGACTCATGAGGACTCTTGCTTACTGTGAGCAAAAGGCCTGACTGCCAGGGCACTCTGTACCCTCACCAAAGTGCTACTTCGAGTCACTGAACTAGTTGTTGCACTTTTCAATTCTTGCACCTCTTCTGTGTAAATGGGGGAAAGGGTGTCACTTTTATAGTAGTTGAAGAGATTGAGAATCCAGATTGCAACTGCAAAACTTGTGTTTAAAATGGTACAGTCCAGTAACAAGATTTCTAACAAGATTGTATCTGTTCTTGTGTTTTGCAGATGCTGTATCCATCTAGGATCTAAAATTTTTATTGGAAATAAAATGGAGAATCTGTTTAATTATTGTACATTTCTGGTTTTGTCCCCTCCACCTGTTTTGAGGGACTTTGCTCTTTTTCAGTAGAGTATCGGAGTTCACAGCACAGGGATGGAATAGTGACTCTAAGCTAGACAATGAAATGGAGATTCACTGTGCTTGGCAAGGAGCTTGCAGACCAGACTGCATTCTAAAGACAAATAACTGGCAGTCTTTACTGTGACCTGTCTCTGGAATTTGAATTGTTTGCAAGGCTAAACAGTAGATGTTCACAACCCCATAACTGTACACAGAAACTTTACCTAGGACATGAGAAGTATTTCCTTGCCTACCTAGTAGAGGGAAATTTCCTTGTTCCTGTTGTGTACTGGGTGATGACTGCTGTTGAGACAAAACTGTGTGACAGGACACCAAATCCTAGCAGACGTAAGTCCTAGGTTGCATCTAAAAATAATGGTTCTAGTAGAATCACAGAGAATGAGGCCATATGTACGTGGGCAGCATGTATGCCTTGTGTCTGCTCTGTGCAGTTTATTTAGACAGGTTTTCATAGAATCACAGAATGGTTTGGGTTGGAAGCTACCTTAAAGATCATCTCGTTCCAACCCTCTGCCTTGGGCAGGGACACCTTCCACTAGAGCAGGTTGCTCAAAGTCCCATGCAGCCTGGCCTTGAACACTGCCAGGGACAGTGAAGACTTCTTTCATCATGCAACTCTAGTGCCTGAGTGCTAATAATTTATGGTCTCCTGGTTGGCCTTATCAGAGTGGGCCAGTGGTGAGCCTCTTTACATCAGACTGTGCCAGGTCCCCATCTTCCTCTTCAGACATACCTTCCTATGCCCCTTTGCCATCCAGAAAGGGATGGTGACTTAAGGAAACTTAGGAGAACAGCCAAGATGGGCAGAATGAGGCACAGCTTTCAAAGAGAACAGCATTTTGGAGAACAGAGGCAGGGAAAGGTTTGGGATTTCTTATTGTGTAGGGTTTGCTTGGCAAGGTTTTGGTAGTAGCTGAGCTACAGGAATGTCTTCTGTGAGAAGCTGCCAGAAGCTTCCCCTAGGTCTGATAATGCAAATGCCATTTGGCTCCAGGATGGACCTAGTGCTGGCCAAGGTCAAGCCAGTAACAGTGGTAGTGTCTCTGGGCCAACATCTTTCAGAAGGAGGGGGAAGTTACTGTGCAGCAGCAATTGCAGCTGGAGGGAGGAGTGACAATATGTGGGATTAAACAGCCCTGCAGACACTAAGGTCAGTGCCGGAAAGAGGAGGTACTCCAGGCGCTGAAGCAGAGATTCCCCTGTGTGAAGTTCAACCAAGCCAAATGCAAGGTTCTACACCTGGGTTGGGGGAATCCCAGGCACAGCTACAGGTTGAGTGGAGAAGAGATTCAGAGCAACCCTGAAGAGAAGGACTTGGGGCTGTTGGTTGATGAGAAACTTAACATGAGCCAGCAGTGTCACTTGCAGCCCAGAAAGTCAACCGTATCCTGAGCTGCATCAAAAAGAGTGTGACCAGCAGGTGAAGGAGGTGATCCTGCCCCTCTGCTCTGCTCTCATGAGACCTCATTTGGAGCACTGTGTACAGTTCTGGGGCCACAACATAACAAGGGCATGGAGCTGTTGGAGCAAGTCCAGAGGAGGCCACAAGGATGATCAGGGAGCTGGAGCACTTCCCGTATGAAGACAGGCTGAGAAAGTCGGGGCTTGTTCAGCCTGGAGAAGAGAAGGCTGCATGGAGACCTCGTAGGAGCCTTCCAGTATCTGAAGGTCGCCTACAAGGATGCTGGAGAGGGACTCTTCATTAGGAACTGTAGTGACAGGACAAGGGGTAACGGGTTCAAACTTAAACGGGAAGTTTAGGTTAGCTATAGAGAAGAGGTTCTTCACTGTAAGGGTGGTGAGGCACTGGAACAGGTTGCCCAGAGAAGTCGTGAATGCTCTATCCCTGGCAGTGTTCAAGGCCAAATGGAGTCTTGGGTGACATGCTTTAGTGTGAGGTGCCCTTGCCCATGGTGGGGGGAGGGAGGGGGGGTGGAACTGGATGATCTTAAGGTCCTTTCCAACCCTAACTATTCCATAATTCTATGATTTGTTTATAGGGTGTAACCTATGTTCAGTGGAGCTCAGAGGGGTATGGTGACTTGGATGGATCCAGGCCAGAGCTGAGTCAGCACAGGCTACCAAGAGACCAAAATTGGGACTGTCTCAGCCATTCCTGGAGGTATCTGGGTGTGGGTTGCTGAGACAGAACGAAGTGACCATCCAGTATTTGAATTCAGTGGTGACTAAACTCACCACAGGAAGGATCTGTGTCTGGTTTGGTACACTTTAGCAGGTGAAAAGCGTGCAGTTCAGGGGCTAGAAGGGTTAAAAGGAGTCTTGAAGAAGGTCAATGGAGGAGATGGGAAGACTGAACAGGAGACAGGGGCTAGAAGGGGATCAGTGCGATTGGGATGTTCAGGGCAAGGGGATAGGTGGGATTTCTTGACTTGACCTCTGCTAGTGCTTTGTAGAGCCCAAGATTTGTCCATGGGTGGAGAGATCAGCACGTGCTGGTGCAGCACAGCAATGCCCCTGGTGGCAGTCAGGAGCAATGCACAAGTAAAGCCGGAGCTTGCTTTCCAGCATCTCCTAACGATGTGTTTTTCCAAAGCAGTAGGTGGAAGCAGGTTTGGAGAACAGGTGTGTGAAAGACCACTTGTCAGCCACCAGCTCAGATCCTTGCTGGTTCAAAGTGCCCCCATGAGCACCAAGGCTGCTGAATGGAAACGTTTAAGAAGCTGGGCTGAATCACTACACACAGAGGCTCGTAACTGCTCTCACAGATTCCCTCCTGTTTAGCTTCTTTGCAGTCCTATCATCAAAATCGGCACGAGAATCTTTTCCCTGTCCTCTTTCTACTCTCTTCAGAAGAGAAGTCAATCTTGGTAAATGCATCTCTTAAGGGGCCTAATCCAATGGACTTTTGATTTTGTTTAGGCTTCAAGGCACTATACTACTACACATGACAAATTTATTTCTCTGAACAAAGCATCCTCTCCTCCCCTGAAGTCCAGAATGAACAGATGCTGTGTTTACTCTGAACAGCCATATGTAAGAGATGTGATTACCCTCATTTGGGACTATTTGTAGAGGTTTTCTACAAATGTGACTGTCAGGTAGGTGTTTGAAGGAGTCTGAAGTCTTGTAAATACATCTGTGTTTTGCTCAGATGCCTGCTAGAGCTCTGAAGTCACTTTGTCAGGGACCACAAATCTTGCTGAGCTCCTGACACCCTTTGAACTGTTTGAGCTGTACCCCTTTAAGTAACACAAAGGAAGATAAAGTTGTATATGTTATTAGATCTTACCTCTGTTAATGAGTAAAGAAATGTAAACAAGGTTGTTTGGGTATTGTGGGTGACATTCACCAGTCTAGTCAGCTTCTGCTGGCAATGGTATGTGTGTACCCAAAAATTAACTAAAGAATTGCAGTGGCCATGAAGAACAGCTCTATCTGGTCCCAAATATTAGTTTTCAGAGGGTGTGCTGGCAGTTTAAACACTGGGGCCACTGCAGAAAAACAGCCAGTGGTGCTCCTTCTGAGCTGAGTTAGGAAGATAATTTAAGCTTTTTCTATACCTCCTCTGCAGGAGTAATCTTCATTAATTTGGGGAATCTCACACTTTCTGATGCAGTTTGGGGTTTCTGTGCAAGTCACTGGCACAGCACTGCTTGAAAAGAGCCCTGTGAAACCCGTGCTGTAATGGTCTTGGCACATCAGGCAGAGTATAGCTGGCACCACCACACACCAGGCTGTGCTGGCAGCTCATGTGGAATTTAAATATGCGGGTCATCTTGTGGAGGTTTGCAGGGGGCATCCTGCCTCCTTAGGGCAACCTTCAAGAGACCTGGCCTTTTGCAGTCAAACTGGCCAAAGCAAGTATCTGTCTTTGGTTTGTTCTTTGCAGGGAGCAGCCAAAGCTGCTGGTTCCTTTTCCCAGAGACTTTCTGGTTGTGACTTGCTTATGATCCAGTCTGTGTCTGCAGCCACAATTCTGTAGTGGGGTAGAGTATCTGCAGAGAAACCCCAAGATGAGGGCTTCCTGTGGACCAGCACCTGCTCCTGTCCCCTCCAGGTGCTGCTCACAGTGCTGGTTACACCCAGGGATTTTCTCCACAGAAGCAGGACTCTGAACAGATGAGTAAAAAATTTCCTCATAAATACAAAATCTGGGCAACACTATAACCAGACCTGGCTGTTGAATTATGCCTGACTTTGTAGCCCTGCCATATTGACAGCTGCTCTCAGGGCTACCTGGCATGGTAGCATGGGCTCTTGCAACAATAGACCCTGATCTTTGGAAGAGAAGACTAATCCTTCTATTTTATCTCCCCCTGATTTGCTTATCAGCAGTTGTCAATGAGTAAGTTGCTTTTGCAAGGACCCAGGACAGAAAGTCTCTCTGAAGCCCTTGCCTGTGCTGTCTGGCGCCAGTGATGCTGGCATGGGGGGCAGTGTTTGCTAAGCCTGTCTGTCATAGCTGGGGAAAATGTTTTCCTGGATGAAAATTGGTGGCAAACAGCGATCTTCCCAACCTGACACACCTCCGCTGTGCCTGAGCACCAGCCTGTGGCACATCCCACACGTAGTGCCTGCTGATCTGCAGGGCTCTGGGGAAGAGTGGCCATGAGTATGGGCAGGAAGCAGGCATGCTGGCTCAGCTGCCTTTGTGGCATGAGTGTGCCCCAGTGTGCTGCTGGGAACCACTGATACAGGGCAGGCACATGGATTTCAGCTCTGCTTTTGCCTGCCATGCTCTTAGAGCCAACTCTGCCTATCCCACAGAGATGGTTTGGCTCCAAATGGCCTCAAAGAGGAACTGCCCAAGGTGACTCCTTTGAGCTGTTTATCCCTTCCTGGGTTCTTGTGGTAGGACAAGCTGTTTGGTGGATCCTGTTCTGATATGGCACAGGGGAAGTATTTAACAGGTACCATAGACTGGAGCTTCCTGGTTTATATGACAGACACACCAACACCACAC